AAAGTGAGCTCAAGGCCAGCCTGAACTGCATAGCAATACCCTGTCTCAAAAAGACAGAAAAAAAGCAAGCAAGCAAGCAAGCAAGCAAAAGATCAAGGTCCCAGGGAATTCAGAAGTGAGACAAAGAACAACTACATCTGACAGGAAAAGAGACAACTGTACTCATCCATGCTGGTGTTTCACCAAATCAGAGGAGACAGCATGGTGGTATACTTGATTAAGCAAGAAACAAAACAAGAGAAGAAAGAGATAGCACACTGAGGTTTCCATGAAATTCAACAACTAATAGATGGCACCAGGCATGGTAGCACCTGCCTGTAATCTCAGCACTTGGGAAGCTGAGACAGGAGGATCAAAGTGAGTTCAAGGCCAGCATGGACTACACAGAGAGTTCAGGGCCAGCCTGAACTACAAAGTGAGACCCTGTCCTAAAAAAATAAATAAATAAAATAAAATAAAATAACTTTTTAAAAAATAACCTAACTAAATAAATAAAGCAAATGTATTATTAACTGCAAACAAGATTTTACTAAAGTCTACACACTCCGTGGTGAGATCCATCCTCTGGCCCCTTGACCCCAAACTGCCTGTATAAGAACCATGGCACCAGGGAGAGTAAACAAAGAGACTGAGAAAAAGCAGCTGCTTCTGCTGCAGCACTAAAAGAAAAAGACCCTAAGTCTGATTCTCGGGGCCCCAAGAAGAACTCGACAACTACATTCATCTGCTACCACTGTTAAAAGCCAGGCCACCTCAAGAGGAACTGCCCTAAGAAGCCCCCTGGGCCATGCTCTGAATGCAAAGGAGACCACTGGCGATCAGTCTGCCCTCAGAAGCGGAGGCTCCAGAGCTCAGACCCATACTACCAGTTAGTCCAACAGGAATGAGGGGGCCCAGGGTATACTCTGCTCTCTCCCTCTGGCCAGACTGTCATCTCCATGGAGGAACCCCGGGTAACCATGATTATAGAGGAAAAAGAAAACAGCCTGTTGCTAGACACAGGTGCAAGTCTCTCGGTCCTTCTCTTCAATCCTGGTCTTCCTTCCAGCCATCACGCTTCAGTGAAAGGAGTCAATGGTGAGGAGGTAATCCGCTATTTTTCACAACCCTTAGTCTGTAAGATCTTGTTAGATCTTTCTTGCGCATCTGTCTTCCTGAAAAACCACTTTGAAGATATCACTATGTATTACAGCAGCCACTGATATTTTCCTACTAATCTGTCCATAACTCTGTAATGTCTGTATTGTTCCTATGCTATTTCGTACATGGGTGTATGTTTATTACTATGTGTTTCCTACAACAACCACTGCGAATAGTCAGTGATTATTCAACTGGTCACTCAAGTATAGCTCTATTTATTTGCTTTAGAAGCCACTTTGAAGATATCAAAGTATAGTACAACAACTATTGATAATCTCCTACCTCTTTTGTCTGTAACTCACTATTATTTGTCTATTTGTTTTCCTGAGAAACTATCTTGTAGATAATATGTAAAACAACAACCACTAATAATTTCCTACCACTTTGTCTGTAATTTGGTAAGCCCCCCCCCAATAATATGTTATCCTTCTTTTACTCTTTAAAATAAAAAAAAAAAAAAAACAGTATTCAGGACCAGACATGGTATAATAAAGCTAACTTGATGGCTTTGCTTCTATTTACATTAAAAAAAAAAAAAAAAGAACCATGGCAGCCTAGTTTATAATCCCAAGCAGAAGACTTAATACTCTGCTCAAGGTAAAATGGTTCAACAAAAAAGACCCAACAGAAAGGCAATAAGAGAAAGGTGAAGGTAGCCCTGTCAATTATCAGACAATGGAAAAGATTATGGGATCCAGGGAATCAGTAGATCCAACACAAGAAAGAAGTACAGGAAATTCCCTAGGATGATGTTAAGTAGGGAATCCCAAAAGAAGAATTATGCAATAAACAACCAAGCCACACTAGAGCAGAGGAATGCTCCAGTGAATACGCTAAAAGGCTTTTTACAGTACTGGGAGAGATTTTAGATGAATTACTATATAGAAAACAAGTTTGTTTTGTTTTGTTTTGAAGTGAAAGGTACTAACAATCAGGAAAAAAAGCTGCCATGAAATTTTTAAGTGTTAAAAATAAAACTTTAAACTTTCATAAAAATTAAAATTATGTAAGATTTCAAAAAATAAAAACTCAACAAAGGATAACTTAAAATTCCTGAGCCAGCAAACTAGAGAACCAGTGGACTGGGATTAGAGTGGAATATCTAGATAACTGGAGGATCAGTGACTTCAGTGTGACAAGACTCTTGACTGTGACTGTGTGACCAGGCAGTTTAAGAAAATGAAGAGGCAAAAGAATCAAGAGGCCAGCTGGGTGTGGTGGCACATGCCTATAATCCCAGCACCTGGGAGGATGATGCAAGAAGATCATTAAGAATTCAAGGCCAGCCTGAACTATATATTAAGTTCAAGGTTAGCCTGGAATACATAGCAAGACCCTGTCTCAGGGAAAAAAAGAATTGAGAGGTCAAAGTGTTAGCTGAATTATCAATTTGACTGAAGCTGTCCAACTATGATATGTGACTACCCTGGACATTTTCCAGGTCCACTTTTTTACTCCTCTCTACCACCTCTCTATAAAAGCTATCAACAAGTTGTGTGTTCCCTGCCTTCTGGTTGGGTTTCAACAATAGGGAATCCAGACACTGGGAGAATAAAGCCAAGAAATCCATTCTTCCAGCATCCTCCCTCCAAGGTACTTCAAAGCTAGCTGTGTCCCTTTATCAGAAAGTCCCCATTCCTCTCAAAGCAGCCAAGTAACCACTCCCCCTATTACTCCTTTCCAGCCTAGGAATGTTAACAGTTTGGCTACATGTTACTACACTATTTCTTGTGGTACCATTATACCTACAACTTTATAAATAATACCTTTATAAAACAGACCGTTCTCAAATTACCCTGTCAAATGTGTTATCTGTTTCTATTGAAATCCTATTAATAGTGATGATGATGATGATGTAGGTTATAACAGAGAATAATGGATAGTAAGGAGATAAAAGTGACTAACAACTGCTAACATACTTTAAGCTCTATGTTGAAGAACTTTTCTAAGCTTTTTGAAGATATTAACACATGTAATCATCACAATTACCCACAGCATAGATTTCTGTCTAGTTCATTTCCAAATACCAACACCCAGCACAGTTGCTGGTACTACTTACTGATTTAAAATATAATAAGAAAGTTTACTATTTATTTATAAATAGTAAAAGCTCACTAATAGGAAAAGCTCACTATTTATTTATTTTTTTTTTAAGCTCACTTTTAAAGTACTGGTTTTTTTGGAGCTTGGACCTAGGCCCTCCACACTGAGATATATCCCCCAACCTTTCTATTATTTTTTATCTTGAGGCAAGGTCTTGCTAAGTCCCTAAACTGCCCAGTTGGGACTAAAGTTTGCAATCCTCCTGCCTCAGACTCTCAGAGTGCTGAGATTACATCCATGTGCCACAATTTTCCTATTTGTATTTTAGAAAACAACAGGAAGCTAGGCATGGTGGTACACTTCCTATTTATATTTTAGAAAACAACACAAAGCACTTGAGAGGCTGAGGCAGGAAGATGGCAATGTGAGTTCAAGGCCAGCATAGCAAGATTCTGTCTCAAAACAAAGAAAAAAATCTGACATGAAGATCAGGGAACTGTGACTCCAAGATCACAAAAGCCAAACACTAAATGAGACCATATGTGAATGACTTGGCTGGGCAGCCTACAGTAAAGTCATTCCTTTGTCTTCCCACAAGGTAAACAAAGAATTGGGCCCCAATTTTCTAAGTGTAACATTCAAAACTAAAGTCGCAAATTTTTAAATGTTACTATAGTTCATCTAATATAGTTGCACATATAGTTCATCTAAGAGAGCAGAGCATCTTTAAATATCAGTTATGAGTTATACAGATAAAAGGGAAGGGGGCAAACAGAAAAATATATGTCTGAATAGAAAACACAAAAATCAAAGGAAATGTGAGGGCCTAGTAAAATAGAGCGCGTGTTTGGCCTTCCCTGAGACTCTTGACTTGATCACCAGAAACGTTAAAAAAAAAAAAAAAAAAAAAAGAAAAGCTAAAGGCGAATGTTGGTCAATCTGTATCAGCCCCTCCAGTTTTCAAAATACTGCACAATTCATAAAGTAAATCCTACATTTAGGACCCAAGTCTGCGAGATCACCTCGTACACACACAAGAAATAAAGCACAGAAAAGGTGGGTGTAAAAATTAGGGCAGAAAGCATACAACATTATGAATCAAAAAATGAAAAAACACGATGTAATAGGCAAACACTCCACCGGATGTTCACAATTATATGGAATAATCAAGGCAAACCTGATACCCAAATAAAAACTCGGGGAAATAACATGAAGCAAAAATGAGCAACTCCCGCGATTTTCTGAAAGCAGGGTTGATTTTTTTTCTGTTATGTTGCACTACAAAGTAAGGGGACAATTCACATGTCTGTAAATCTAGAAACCTGAGAAGTTTCGAGAATAATGGACTCAAACAGGAGTAAAAATCGGCAAGAACAGCGAGGTGTGAGTAAGGGTACAACTGGGAAGGAACTGCCAGATCCAACACTTGGACACGAAGGGGAGACGGATGAGGCATCCTTTAGGTGGAGCAACACTGGGATTGGATTTGGTTGAGGGAAGACAAAACAGAAAAGCACGGCCTAAGAAGCAATATCGAGGGTGGAACGTAAAGAGGGCTCGATGCCCATAAGAGAGAAGTACAGGACCTACAAATCAGCTTCTACGGGGTGGGGAAAGGGCCAGTTCGCGACCGATCAGCTACGACTAGCTTCCTAAAAGAGGAGAGTAGAGTGCAGCTTCGCAGCCCCACCCCAGCACAGCAGCTCCTCCCCTGGAGGACCTCACTAGGCCAACCGGCCAGCTCAGGCGCTCCCCTAAGAGTAGGTCCCACTCTGCCTCGGCCCCGCGGCAAAGAACGGCCTCCCGGGGCCCCTCACCGAACGCTGCAGCTCCCCAAGCCAAAACGAGGCGCGCTCCTTTCCGCTGGGATCTGGGTCGTGGTAAAGCGCCTGGACTGCCTGATACACAAGCTGCAAAGTCGGCTTTGCTCCTTCCATGGTGGTGGCGGCAGTGGTGACAGCGACAGCTCTGATTCTTCTTCTCGGGCTTCCTGGTTGCTCCGCCTTCGCGCTTCCTCACTGTCTTGGCCACGGCCGCTCCCCGGCTGGCGCCATCTCCTCTTTGGCCGTTACCAGGGCAGAGGGGTTCCCCGTGGAATTTGCCCCCTCGGAAACAGCGGATAGGTAGTCTTCAGGTTCCCGGCTCTTTGTTTTTTGTTTTTTAGCCAGTCTTTCCACTAGAATCCAGACTCCTGAGCCTGGATGCTGGTAGTGGCTTCCTCACTTGCTGACTTGAGCTCAGAAGCCTATCGCCACATGACACAACCACGCCGCTTACCTAAACCGCGTTTTAGCGGACCGGAAGCCGTAGCTCTGATCTCTTTGGCACACTTCCGCCTGGTGCACTACAAACGGCCTCCTTCCCGGCACGCCTCCTCTTATCTTCCCGCCCCTCCCGGAAGTGACCCTGCCGGGCTAGGTGCCCGTCCTAGTTTCTCTAAGTTTTTGAGTCCCCCTTGAATTTAGGACCAGCTTGTGTCACTCACCTGAGGTCCGAGGTCTTTTCTCCCCCTTTTTCCTTCTTCATTTGTCTCTAAAGAATCTCTTCTGGTCCTAGTGGATGGTTAAGGCACCATCAATTCAACAATCTGTAGTGTCCGCTGTACTAGAGACCCAAAGATCACTTAAGACGTAGTTCCTACTCTCACTCTAGGGGAAGAGACAGACATGTAAACAAATAATCTACAAACCTGAAATATGTGTCCCATTGAGTCAATCCAAAATGACTAGAATCTGTTCGGATTCCTTTTTCTAAATCCTTACACCCAAAAGGAGGCTTTCCTTATGGCGCTTTGAGCTCCAGAACATATGCATGTATCTCTAGAATCATTCTTATATTGGATTATATTTCTGTGTATGCCCTTTCCGAATCAAAAGCTAGTCTAAAGTGGGCGAGGTGGCGCATACCTGTAACCCCTGAACTTTGGGAGGCTGAGGTAGGAGGATCACAAATTCCAGCCCAAACGGACAATTTGGTGATTTATCGCAACCCTATTTCAAAATTAAAAAGGGCTGCTGTAGCTCAGTGCGAAAACCTGAGCTCAATGCTATGTACAAAATTAAAAAGGGCTGCTGTAGCTCAGTGCGAAAACCTGAGCTCAATGCTATGTACTGAAAAAACAAACAGTACTCAGAATTCACAAAATAGAAATCTTGGACTGCATGCTGTTGGACAAATGTGGACTGAAGACAGCAGCATGTGAGGGGTTTCTCAACTTGCTGCTACTCCTTTGCACTAATAAATAACTGCCACTACACGGTTAATGTTTACAACGCACGAAGTATTGCAGTTACACGGCCCCAATCTCCTGAGCAAATCCCCCATTTTAAAGAATAAGAATGTGTAGAACAAGAGATTGGGGGGCATGTAATTTGTCCAAGGTTACACAGTTTTTGAAGTTATGGATTGAATCCAGACCAGCTTTGCTCCAAAGCCTGTCAGTTGGTACAATTTCTATTATCTGGTATGGCAGTTTCCTTCTGAATTGTTATTGTCAGGAATTTTAAATGCCAACACCATGACTTTTTAAAAAATTATTATAGATTTGCTATAATTTCCAGCAAAAGGGCAGGGAAGATGGCTCAGCGGCACAGCGCCTGCCTGACAAGTGGAAGGTCCTGAGTTCAATTCCTGGTAACACAAAAAAAAATAATAATTTCCAGCAAAAAAGAAATTGATACTTAAGTTACCGGGGCTGGGGATTTAGCTCAGCGGCAAAAAGCGCCTGCCTGGGAAGCGCAAGGTCGTGAGTTCGGTTCCGGTACCGGAGAAAAAAACAAAAAAAAATAAAAAATTAAAAAAAAAGATACTTAAGTTACCTAGTTCATTATGTCATGAATAATGATATAATAAGACCAACTTTTCTCTGCCTTTCTGAAACTTGCATTCTAGCTGTAAAGAAAAAAAAGCAATTCAATACAGTGTAAAAAGTCCTGTGACTATCCAAAAAGGAATGGTATTGGACTTTCTACTTCTTTCAAAAGATTATAGAACCCAGGGGCTGGGGATTTAGCTC